ACACGTGTTTTAAAATTGCTATCAAGTTTTTTCTTAAGGCCTACTAAATTTACAAGGATAGCAACAACTAAAATATTTCACAAGGCTTTAACTAAAATATCAGTGATGGAACCCTAATAGATTTAACTATAACATAAATTTGATGAAGAAAAAACAATAAAATCGAGGAGAAATTAATCTCCATTATTACTTCTAAAATCTTCGAAAAACAATGCATAATAAATGGTAAAGTGCGCTGAAAAAATTGATATTTGAAATTGAAAGGAGTAATACTATTCATCATCCAATGAAGTTGAAATGCATTTTAATTTGTTGAAGGATAAAGCTACTTTTGCCAGCTTGACATAATTGTACGTGACAGTAGATAATTAGATGGAAAAACTGACTGCATTTTAAATTGTCCAATGATAAAATATTACGTGACATTATGTCAAGTTTTATGCCAATCTTGTAATATGACAGTGACTCTACTACCACAAAGAGTGAATAAGAATAATATTATTCAATAGAAAGACAATTTTATTTTTGGACTCTTTAGGTAATATCAATTAAGGAAAAATCAATAATTATATAAAAAAATTTAAAGGCATTGTTGTCTAAAATTTTTTTTCACTTCAAATCTTTCATATATAGGATAGGATTATTTTTGGACTCTTGAGAGTAATATTAATTAAGGAAAAATCAATAGTTATATAAAATTTTAAAGGCATTGTTGTCTAAAATTGTTTCTAACTTCAAGATTTGTATATATCAATTATGTTATTTGTACATTTAAAGTGTACGTTAATGTTGACACTGTCTAATGTGTTAAAATTTGTGTAAGTGATTGTTTAAAAGTTGTTAAAATTAATGTATAAAAAGTTATTATCTCGTAACAATGTCAAACTTGATATTAAATTTAATGTATATGTAGCAAGATTGTTTATATACGTAGATAGAATATACATATAATAAGAGACACATGGAAAGGGTACAAGCTAGTTGCATAAATATTATTAGTTAGTTGATTTTATGGTAAAAAGTTGAATAGTCCCCGAACTTTACACGGTGTGCGAAAAAATGTTCTTAAACTTTAAAATGGAACTCCATTAGCCCCACAACTTTCCGACGTGACTTTTACATCAAATAAGCCAACAAGGATAAAATCACACCATTTTTGAAGTGCTTTCACGCTTCAAGTGAAGTAAAAGTGCATTTTTTCTTCGAGAAAATGGTGCGATTACACCTTATTAGTGTATTGGATGTCAAACGGAATCTCTTTTTGGGACTAATAGAATTCACAACTTAAAGGTAAGTGACAAATAAAGTACAATTAAAAGTTTACCACATAGTATATTTTGTGCATATATTTTAAGCGTAGGAAACATATAAATTAAGACAATGTATTATTCCAAGTAAGTCGACTCATCTACAACGAATATAGAACATCTAAAAATGTTTATCTCAATTCTAGACTTACATATAGGATAGATGTAGACAGGGATGGAGCCAGCCCATCAAAGTAGGGGGGTCCGCGAGTTGCAGGGGTGGGGGCTCACGGGGGTTCGGGGGCAGCGCTCCCGGATTTTTTTTTT